AGCCTTTGTATACACCACCTGAGATCGGAAATTCTTTCAGCTATTCAAATCTTTTTTCAAATTTATTCTAGCTATTATTAAAATCATTATTTTAACACGGCGCACGAACTTTTTCCTCAACCTAATATATTACATCTCAGATTCAAATGGTATTCACTATACTGTCAGGAAAACAGTTAATGGATTAGAATATACAGTAGTAAATGTTGTTTTATTTCAATTTGAACTTCATCTTAAAACATATATATAAATAGAAAAGATTTATCAAGATTACATAAATTCATAGGTCGAATAATGAAAATGAATGTTAGTAAGATCTACATAGATAATATGTTGATGGAATTATCAAAGATAGACCAGTATTATGTGTTATACTAAACTAATCGACTTAGCGTTCAGGTTTTTTTACCTATAAATAAATCAAACGACTTAGTAAGAATGTAAAAGTACCAGATATGTTATCATTGTCCTTAAATGTTTAAAAGGATCTCAACTTTATACCAGTGTGACATAGATATTGCTCATGATAATAATTTCTGTCATTCTAGAGATGGTATGTGTTCTGTTTGTGAATTTGATGATTCGTTAATATCAGTAGATAGTGCTTCATACTAATTTGAATCTGACGAGATGTAGCATCCATATTCCAGTAAATTTTACGAACATTAGAGAAACTATTGGCGGTGAAAAAAGAATGCACATAACCATTTTTGTATATTTCAAGTTAGAAAAGAGATGAAGTGAGCCATTTCCACCAATTGAAACTCAGCATGTGAGAGCATCTTTTCTTAAGCAAAATGAGTTTGAAAACTGTTGAGTGAGAAAGGTTTTCCAGAAGATCTCTGGGCTTACAACTTTGATAATAACTTTATTTTGAATCCTTAGCAAACTTTTCAATACAAATAGAAAAGAGAAAACATTTTAAAATCATCAAAATTCTGAAGCAAAAAGCTGAGAAATTTAAGTGATGACATTTTAGACTTTTCAGTACGGTCTACAATAATTAAATATGTCGTAGAAATGTCTATTTATTCGAATGAATTTTGTTCGATTTTGTAGAATCACTTTAAGGATTCCATTACTTTGTCGAAGTTTTTGTGGTGTTAGATAAATCTATTAAAAAGATCTAATTTTGATGGTTACTCTTACATGTTAGAGTAATAACTACTCTGTACGCCTTTTGTAGTAACAAAATACACCAGAAAAAGTTGAAAGAGCAAGAAAACTTGCTCCCACTCTTTACAATTAAGGCACACGGTTATCTTTTGATAAACAAAATGGACAATTGTTCTTGTATGATGTCTTTTTTTCAATATCTTGATTATCATCATACATCAATAACAACAACAAGAAAAAAATCATCATCAACGCCATTAAAAAAAATTCTATTCATGTGTGATTTTACACAGAAAAACATACTGCTGTTGCTTTCTTATTCGTTGCGTTAAACAAGATGGCGAGGAAAGTTCAGAAACAAGGAAAATTGTCATTACAAGAAAAGAAAGAACAGAATGTTACTACTAGAGTTAGTAACCGGTACACACACACACGCTTGCGCACATTTAATGAAAAAAAATGCCGGAAAGTAATAATAATAATAGGAGAATACACACCACTGACACTCAAACCAACGGTAACCTAATTATCTCATTTAATCTCCCTCTGTCTCTCCCTTCGTTTCTCTCTCACCCTGTCAATTTGATGTAGGCGTGTATAAGAAGCGAGAAAATACAAAAAATCACAATATTATATAGAGTATATAAACGAAGAGAAAAACGTGTGCGATACGCACGGTTTAAACAAAGAAACAAACAAACAAAAATGTATATGCTGTAAGTAGATTATAAAATAAGAAAAAAAAAAACATTTCGTGTCCCATCACCACTAGGAGAGAAAGAAACAGTAGAAAAAACAAAAAACGATAACAGCAAAGCAACAGAAACGAGAAAAGAAAGTGTTCGTTCATTGATGGTACAGCTCTGTGACTAAACACACCGGTTTAAAATTTCTTGTTTTTCTGAAAATTTTTGTTGAGCATAGGGAAACCAAACGAAACAAACAAAGACGCACAAACACAATTTTTATCCTGAGACAAAAACACAAAATAGGTCAGAATAGTGAAGTGTTTTCGATTATATTGCGAGAGAAAAAAGAAAGATGGTGCTGGTACACACGCAAAGAGTATAAGCAACAAATTTATTTTTTTTGAAAAAAAGAAAAACTTGTTCTTTCTTGTTGTTTTAGTCTCCACGACGATAAAATAATAAATAGGGTGTCTGTTTATTGTCCTGTGAATTTAATACTTGTGAACTTGTAACAACGTTAACGGTTGAATCATCCATTCGAATCCATCCTTGTAGACCCGGATGAAATACGTCTGTTACATAATGACCACCACTCGCTTTATCACCACAATGATATTCAACAGCAAATAATTTATAACGATCATAAGAAGTTTTTTTAGCTTGTTCGGTTAATATTTCTAAAAATAAACAGTAGAACTTGTAGCCATACCTATCACACCTTAAATGTTTCCACACTCCACGAACCCTAATGATGTGGTGTGAATCTCTATATCTTTCTCATAAAGCTTTTCTTACTTGATGGTAGTGTCAAATTGACTTGATATGATAATTGTTTATTGATTTTTTTTGCTGAATTGTCTGTTTCATCGTATAGAAAACATTTCAAGTGGATAATTAGGATGGGTGGTAATTGATCGATTAATATTGTTTTACTTGTGTGAACCTAGAACAGGAAAACAATACAGTGAGATATTTCTATCATTTCTATCTTTTTCTTGCTTTCTACATACTGTTTGGCGAGTTTTATTATCGACATAATCTGTGAGAACAGATTGTTCGGAAAATCTTAATAGAGCATCCTCTAATGATTGTATTCGACTGTCCTAAGAATAAACAACAACAAGAATGAACGAATTTATTGTTACTTTCTCACTGTTATTTTTCTACTTACTTTGATTTCAAGTGATAAAGTAAAAAATGGTTCATGAACAACCGATCGTTGATTTCCAGCACTGTGTACAGTTGATCGAAACATGCCAGCAAATATTTCGGATATTAAACTTTTGCGTATTTCACTCTAAAAGAACGAAGCAAAGTATTGTAGTTATCTGAAAAACACGTTTTTCTATAATTGTTCAGTGAAAAAGAAAAGTCACAAGTACGGTTAGGTACTTCAGAGTGCTACAACTGTGGGTAAGATGGCTATTATTCACAGAAGATGATTTAATCGTTTACTAACACTACGAAATACGTGTGTGCGATTTCGTTTTCCAACTTGAAGCCAATCTTCTGATTTTTCGTCGTTTCCATTTGTTTGCGATACATTGTTCGCTGTTGTCGTAGTTGAATTTTGTGTTGCTGATGTAGATTGTTCTTCTAATAAAAAGTATAAATAACAAACGTAAAAAGCAGAAGAGCACACGCTGACAGTTTTTGCGTAGTTGCTGTTAATCTTTTCTTAGTTAAGCACTGCAGTTCATCTAAATGTTTATGAAACTTGTCTCCTACAGGTTCATTTCAGTAGCTTACCAGTGTAATTAGGGGGTACTGGCGTTTTGTATAATATGTTACATATTTCTTCGTGTAATTCACTTAATAATTGACATAATAATTCGTGTGCGTCTTCTTGTTTTGTCTGTTAGAAAAGAAAAACGAAGATAATGCAGATTCAAACAACTAATATGCAAATAACATACTTTGACAACATCGAGTGGACTTTTTCTTAAACGTGCTATCTCACTCAACATATTTGTGGCTTCAAATGGTTGACCACACACGATGTCTTTATGATTAGCGCTAATTGGATATTTACTACGATCCATTTTTTCAAATTTATTGACAAATACGTGTCTAAAACATAAATAAGAACTCTTGACGACAGAACAGTTCAGTATTGTGTGACCGCCATGCTACTTGTACCTTGCAATAAGCGCAAAGAATTAAAAAAGTTACAAGAGCAAAGAAAGGACATTCCCATCAGATACAGCATCTTGTAAGAACCCGTTCTTTACTTATGTGTCAAACAACTTACAGCGCTTCTATACAGGGCATAATTTGTTCGGCTGGAACGTCAGATATTGGAGCATGTTTCATAACATTGAAAAATGGTGGACATGCTAATAAAGCTTGTAAAGTCTAAAAAAATAATATATAATGGAAAAAATATTAATGAAAAATAGCAAGAAAACTTACCGCATTGATATAACAATAATTTCCTTTATTTACCAGTCCACGCGGTTTGATTGCCATTGCTGATGGACGTAATTCACATTTTGAAAAATAATCTGAATGAGCAAACAGACAAAACACATTAAACGTTTTTTTCAGAGATACTGAAAGAGTGTGTACGTTCTTTAATGTTTCAATCTGTCAAAAACTCCAACTAAAGCTGGACAAGTTCGAGTCACGACTCAGACTCAAGTCGGTTCGAGTCGCGTTTCAACTCGGACTCGAGATAAAAGACTCGTGAAATCTGAGAAAAGGACTCTAGTCATCTTTTTTTAGAAATCCGGTTTTCGTTTATGTTTCATTTATAAGCCTCTTTATCACAAAAAATTAAGAAAAAGAGTACCGTAAGAGATAGATGACCTTTATCAATATCAAAAATAGGCTACTTTGAATGAGACTTTGCGTCTTTATTTAAAAGACATCATGTCGTACACGACAGTGAAATAAAAGGTAAAACGTTATATATTGTGCAGAACGAAGTAATATGACTCCGACTCGAAAAATGACTAACTCGCCCAGCTGACCTGAAGTCAATTTTCACACTAAAGGCTTACCATCGAGAGACTGTGATTCTCCTCCACTACTGTTATAAACGTGATAATGATTTTTCGACTGATTGTTGTATAAGCGATTATCGTTTGCTGTTGTACTTCGAGGCATTGGTTGTGATGTTAAAGAGGATATTTGCGTTCCACTAGACGAACGAACAAGCGTTTGTTGAGGTTTTTTTGTTGGAGGTTGTGAAGTGGATGATGAAGCAGATGAGAGAGATTTTGTTATAGAGGATGTATTGTTGTCTTTATTTGATGATGGTGGTGATGTTAAATTATTACTATTAGTTTGCGTTTGATTTTTTGACGAACTTCTAAAAAACAAAATCACAAACACATGAAAAAATCCCTCATATAAATAAACAACAAAAATAAATGATTAAGGCTTTGACATTGCTTTTCTAGAGATCATTTTACTTCACTTTTATTAATAGTAATTCTGTCTCTGTATGCTCTTTGCTCATTACAAAAAATATCTTTACCTGAATAAATCAGCCCAACATGATCGTGGTTCTGCTGATTCATTTTTTGTTTTTATAGATTGGACTAGAGAAGATTGTTTTTTTATGTTATTTTGATCTACATTTGGCTTCAATGTTTCGACACTGGCTCCACTAGCAACTGACGTTGAATAAATAGTCACATCATCATTGAGAGCTGGAGAAAGTGAATTTAGTTGTTGTGGTGGGTACGTTTTCATTATTGCTGTTGGAAGTGTATTTGAATTTAAATTATTATTCGTTTGTGCTATATTTATTGGATAACTAGCATTTGTCTGAGGTATTGTTGTTGAACGAGAATTTTGTAAATCATCAGTGACACTGTCTTCGTTATCATCGGTCGTTGTGCCATGAGTGTCTATAAAAATATAGCTCTGCATTTCATTCTGTGTATACTATCAAATTCAATAATTAGGCATTACAGATAAAACAAGTACACTTGTTGAAATTAGTAAATCTATTTGTTGTGTTAGAGTGATGGTAGCTATGATCTGAGATCGAGTTTAACATTAATTTCTTGCTACTCGTACAAAAATACGGAACAGATTACCTAGCACAGCTACTGATGTAATCATTCTTAACTGGAGAAAGATTATAGGTACTACTATTTAAAAACATACCATCTGAATCATTTTCATCCTCATCATTTGTTAAATCGATACTTTGTTTCGATGATTCTTGATCATCCTCTTGTTGTTGATGTTTCATTGTTGAATCAACCCATTGATTACACGCTAATAATCTGGCATCATCTGAGACAATAATACCCGCTACGGGTGGTGACTGAAATTCTGAATGTTGTAATTGATCGATACCTGCTGCTGTGGCGTTTGAAGATGATTGACCTAAAACTGTTGTACTACGTGTGGGTGTGGCTAGCGTTGTTGCTGATAAACTGCCATTATCATTTAAAATACCTTTTAATGAAAGAAAATAAATAAAAATTGTCCAATGATTATGAGATTTCCATCCTACAGTTGACATGCCTTCGATTTTAAAAATTTATTCACTTACCATTTTGTTGCTGTTCTTGCGATGGTTCCATAATTTGATTATATTCACGTGCATAATAATCTTTTGGACGTTGTTTCTTTTTCTTAGCTGAACTCAGAGAATGTCGATGATGATGATGATGATGATTATTATTTGTTGATGATTTCTGGCCCACTGAGGATATTTTAAAATTTTCAACTGATGAACTTTTAGAAGAATATGGAGGTGATGTTAAGGCCGATGATGACTCTTGATGGCTACTACCATTACATGATGATGAATGATACGATGGATAGTAAGAACATACATGCGGTGCTACTTGTGGAACATCGAAACCAAATTCAATTGTGGGATTAATACATGTTTCAGCACCCCATGGAAACTAGAAAAGAAATACAAATAACAACTTTCAACCTAAAAGTTTATTATTGAAGAATGGGATACTTAAGAATTTGTTAATAAATACCTCTGGATCTTTTACCTTCACACATTGTTTATCACGTCCAAAAAATTTCTCAGTTTCTTCGTGAGAAAAATCGCCAAACATTAAATCCTAAACAGAAAACTGTAGAAAATCACATGGGGAAATATTAACGAAAGATGTAGACGTACTGTCATTTTTTCTTTTTTTTGATAAAAATAAAAACAAAATGAAAAAAAATACTTCAGTTAATTATTATTAGTGGAAACGATCACATGCCACGATAGTTTTATTTTATATGTTGGTGCCTTAAAATCATCTAGAAGAAAAAGTTGGAGTTTTCATAGTCACTCTACGATTATGATTCGTGCATATCAATTAGACTTTCTGATCTCAACATAATAAACACGCGCACACAAAAAAACGTAATAGAATTGCAAGTCATGACGTAACATTTTTTTCAAGTTAAAACAACTTAAGAAAAAAATGCGTATTCTTTCTTTGGAATGATAGTAAAGAACTATTCCGTCGAAAATAAAACGAACAAAACGATTTCACATTGTTTGTCGATTTCGTGAAATTTTAGATGGTACAGATTCGAGAAGTTATTTGCCATAATCTATAACCGTAATGATTAACAGAAAGATCAGAAACTATTATTATTATTTACGTTTGTTTAGTATGTTTTTTTTTATTTTCGTGTGTGTTGTTTTTCTTTTTACTCTTTAGTTATTCACGGATGAGGTAACAAGTTAAGCCAATCAGAGTCGGGTTCATAATCCAGAGCTGATCCTATCTTGTTGACGGTCAGAAACAGCATGCTTAATCATGTAAAACTAAGTCTTATTTGGAGAACACACAACATTTCATTTAGGTTACAACTATTTTAACTAGACAATATATTAGCGCCACAAAACATTTATGCAAAGCATAAATTTTACCAAAAATTATATAAAAAGATTAATTCGATGCACATTTATTAAAATAGAGCTTATCCAAGCAGTTTAATTACTTCTAAGGGATCGACCGTATGGATACCTAACGACATCTTTAACAACAAGCAACGTTTGTTTGTTTTATATATTGCAATACGTGCAATGTTCATAAAAGAATGTGTTATCCAATCATGAAGATGTGTCTCCGATCATCCGTTCGATAGCATAAGCATTAAGTTGAGATGTACAATATACAGCTTGTTTTTTATCAGGATTCGTGGTTTGTCAGAAATAAAAGTATATATAATAGACACAATGGGTATATATGCAAGACTCAAGCAGTTGGTCGAAAGAGTCAGACTAATTTAGGAAAACTTCTTGAATCAAGATCATGGGCGGACCGGGAAGAAATTTTTAGGGGGCGCAATAAATTTTTTAGAGTAGTACATACACAAATGTGCTTCCCTTCACAATTTTTGTCCATGCTAACGCACTTTTCATTCATTCAAAAGTGTACATCAAATTTTTCGATCAAGAATTGCTCTTTCTTTATTTTGAACTTCGGACTGATACTCTGGTGTAAAGTATAATTCTTCACAGGGCAATAACTGCTTATTGCTCTTGATTTTTTTTTCATGCTGGCGACCCGCGAATGATCCAGATTTTGCCTTTCTAAATGTTTTTTAATAAGATTCTGGAAAAAAATGTAAGAAGTTGGAGAACTTTCAAGAGCCCAAAATCTTGTAACCAAGATATTGAAAATTTTTGAATCATTATTTTGTTTTACAGTCTTGTTTGTATATAAGTGCTAATTGTTTTATACTTCGAATAATTTCGCATCTTTTCCTCTTAAACTTTTTTATTTTAAGAAAATACTATGATTATAGTTGGAGGTATATCTGAGATCTATGGCTATCACATTTGAAACGTAATCGAAAGAAAATTTTATACACAAGATCTTACAATATGTTGAGCGGATTCACAAGATATTGAAATTTCTACCTTGCCACGAATCTTGAATGAAAGATTCAAGAATCCAAGATCTTGTTAAATGGAGTTCTTGGTACATACCAGCTTCTGTACATTTATTCAATACAAATGAATCTCTATTGCTTGGCTCTTTCATTCTTCCGACGATGTCTTCTCATCCACATTATGACTCAGTTCAATATTGTTCGGGCTTTCAAAATCGGGTAATTTCAAATTGGCGACTGGTGCCGTTTTTTGTGATGCACTATTGGTGACAGTTCGTACTGTATTTTACATTCAAATGCGTAGGAATTGAATTTTTTTAAATCCAGTAATTGATTGCTGTAAGTTACTCGTCAACCGTTCAAACAAATATATGGTTAACATATGGTTTTAGTTGATTATCAAAACTAGCATACGTTTTGATATCGAGAGTCTTTCGTCGAGATACTTGTTCGAAAGGCTGTCAGCTCATATTTTGAATTACGGCATAATGACTCGTAATTACGATCGTAGCTGCTGTGCAGGCGACATTTCTAATGAAATTACGGCGCAATTACGAAAATGATGAATTTTACGATATGATTACGCCGTAATCTATAAAAAATCGGGGACATGGGATATTTTCAGCTTGAAAGACGTTGAAAGTCGCGATTGTTAGAACAAAATTTGTCGCATACTTATATAGCCTTATCGCCTCAACTGTTATTGCTGGAACATTTCTAGCTAGATGAAAAGGTCAACGATGATGTCTTTATTATCAGCAAACAAAGCAAACTATTGTTGCTGTTGTGATTTTCCTTTTTTCAAAGTTTGTTCAGTGGCTTCATATATAAGTTTTAATTTGAGGAAAAGAAAACGAATAGAGCCAGTTGGTAGTTAACGGACGTAAATGGACTCTTCGTCCTGATCCTTTCGTTCTTATTTGTGCAAGTAAAACACTTGAAAAAACTTTTTTTCTAAGATCTTTGCTTCTATTTTTTCGTTTTATAACTAACAGTTGTTCATCAAATGTTACTTTGGATACTGATAATAAATTTTCTTAATAACTGTTTAGTAACAAACTAGATGACTTCGATAAGAAGGAATTCTAATGAAAGAGATGGAGAATCGGATGATCCTAGGAGTATACTTTTGTTTAGAAGATCAGATATACCCCTCTCGTTGCTAGATATGAGTGTAATAAGAAGTAAAGTACAGACATCATTTGATAGACTGTTCGAATTTTAGATAGAAACTTTGCCAGCGTCGTACCCAGCACTAGACCAAGGATGGGTCATGGCTCACTCCTTAAAAATTTCGTTTTCTTCAATTCGCAGTAGAAAAAAATATTTTGATTGAAATCACAAATAAAAATACTATCAAGAACTTATTTTACTTTTTTCCTTGGCTAAAGAGATTTGGCCCACTGCTTAGTGGAATCCTGGCCACGTCGCCGCTGCTAAGACTTCGTCTATGAAGAAAAAATATATGCCTGTACAAACAATCTTTTTATCTTTCCATGAATGTTTACTATATATTGAATGAATAATCTACGATTTGTTTCGTTGTAGATTAAACTTTAGAAAGGTCAAACTTAATAATATGGTGAACTAAAATATGCTTTACAAATTTTCATTATTCAAATTCGTTTATACATGTTATTCGCATTTACCTATTTGATAAACTATGGTGAGTTTCAGATATCTATCAACATAAAATAAAAGTTCAGTCTTAGTAGGGAGAACATTGTTTATTTTTTTTATTATTATCAGGCAAAACAGTTAATTCAAATTGCTATTTTGGGTGCACAAGTTATTGGTCGAGCATTCTCTAAAGCACTTCGACAAGAATTACAGTGTTAGTTGAACACAAAAATTTACTAAAACAAATTGTTACTTCTCTTATTTTGTGTTATTCAGATTCGCAAACAGCAACACAAAGTGGAAAAACAACAGCGCGTACAGTACAAGCTGATCGTGTTGCAGGTATGAGTTTACAGGTATGTTTCATTTTTACACATCATCAATGTGATTATAAGTTCTATATTCTTGTATATATATATATATATATATATTTTAGGAAGCTAAACAAATCTTAAATATCTCTGCCGAGGAATCCATCGACGTAGAAAAATTGAAAGCAAAATATGATTATTTATTTAAAATAAATGATAAAACAAAAGGTGGATCATTTTATTTACAATCAAAAATTTATCGTGCTAATGAACGTATTGAACAAGAATTAAAATCCCGTGAAAGAGAAGAAGAAGAAGGAATTTCAAAGAATAGAAAAAAGACGAAAGAGACCACAAAGACAAATGATAGTGCTGATTGATGATATTCAATTTTTACAGTATCTGATAGAATTTTGTTTTTGATTGTTTGTTTTTGTTTAGAAAATGTATTTTTTCCTTTTTTTTTCCTTTGAATTTTTTATTATTCGTATTTTTTATACGAAAAAAAAAGTGAGTAAACCACAAAATAAAAAGTGATTTAGTTACACAGTTATATTGTATTAAAGAAAATGTGAGAGTAGAAGTGTATGTGATTAACATTCTCTGGGTCTATATCATTGAAAATTTTAGTAGTTTAAACACGCTTATTCCAGTGGAAGAAGATTGTCCATTTTCGAGTACATATGGTAAGTTTGAAAGATACCACTAAATTATTAGATTTTAAATAAATTAGAGTTGGTCTTTGTCAAATTCAATAACTATTGTTGAAATTGAGGCAAATCTTGTAGGATATTTATTAATAGAACGTACGAGATAGAAGATAACGTTTTTGATTAGGTGAAGTAAAGTGAGGGACTACTTTAATCCCTATCTTGTTTGTTTGAAATGAATTACTCACTTGAGAAAAAAATTGACTCAGTTCATAAAAAAATTTGTTCACTCAGAAAAATGACCTATTTTTATTGTTTTGGTTATCAGCTAATTTTTTTGAGAAAAAATGTGTTTGCTTGATGTGTTGCTCAATAAAAGTTCCCCCATGTTGCCAAAGTTATATTAAAAATGCTGATAGAAGATAGATAGAACAAAGTCGAAAAAAAAAAGGTGTCTTCTATTATTTTTATGAACTGTTAGTCTATTACACGACTGTATATGATAGAGTCTTATTGTTATAATGTATTGCTACTATACCGTTGTTCATTCAAATTTTAGTGGAAATTGATTCCACTTAGAATCATAGAATATATTAATAGTTTTATTTTATATTTTAATCGTGATGATACTTACTCTAATTTGATTATCAATAAATAAAGATTATTCAACGATTATATCATTTGTTGTAAGATGCAAAATATTTTATCGTCAGTCACATTCAATGTCTATAGTCATTTTTTGTAGATGACAGATGTCAACAATTATTGGGATATAGTTGAAAATGAAATTCAAGTCTATAATACAGAAAAATCAATGGTATTTATAAAATGTGATCGAACCATACATGGATTATCATTTTATTATAAACGATCAATAATTAATTCTGGTGGTAGATCTACGGATTCAATGACTCCTCCTTTATCATTCGCCATAGTTGATGGAGAAACAAGTAATTTTGAATTCACTATTTGTATACATGCATTATGTTTATCTACTGAGTATTAAAATAATGTCCTCTAAACTGATAAAAAACATATTTATAATAAATAATTAAAAAAAATTTTTTTCTTAACACACTTTCTATAAGCGTAGTAGATAGACTTTTGTCATAAGTTTCAATACGTACTTGTTTCACACTTTTTTGAGTTTAGTATATCTTGAACGTATTAAGTATATTCAATGCGATAATCGACGGTGTTTTTCGGTCAACAAGACATCACATCCTAGTAACTCCAAATCTATTGAAATCTATTTTGATTCTGAAATACCACGAACAGATTATTTATACAAGGTACTTTCATTTGAAGCAAATATTAAAGGTAAGAATAATAGCACACAAAACGCTAATAAATAAAGTTTTGATTATCCAACATATTTTAGGTTTTGATACATGGTTAAAAGCACTTAATTGTGCAATTGCAGAAGCAAAAAATATAACTATTATCAGCAAACAAAATAGGTTAGTTAGATAAATGTAATTTTTTTTTCAAACTTCAAATATTTCTTCTTATTTACAGATGGCTTTATCGTGAATATGAAAAATTAAGAAAATCAATGGGTTTAACAATTGATTCTATCAATGGTTGGCTAAATTCTCATCTTGGTATTGTCGGTGAAAAAAAACTAGTCGAAATGCAAATTAAAAATATAGGAGGTTCTATTGACACAAATGAAATTAGTTTTGGTACCTTTAAAAAGCTTTATGATTATTTTATTGAAAAACAACAAAGCGTAGGTTGCATTTATCGTTTTCATTTTTTTCATCAAATTGAGTCCCATACATGTACTAGACAACTCGTCGAATTATCATTTTCATGAAATCTTCACTCTTGAAAATTGTACTGTTAAAGTCTTTGTTTTTCTCATACATTTTTAGGATTTGATGACCATTGCAACAGAGCAAGAACAGTATGTATAAATTAACATTTATTTTTTCTTCTGATTTTTGGACATTCTTCATTTTTAGTTTGTATAATATTTATAATGTAATTAAACATTTATGTTCTAATATTGATTCCAATACAGAAGACTTTAAAAGTATTCAAGATTATTTTCATGTCGATAAAAGTCGATTGATTTTAAATTTTAAACAGGTAAATAGAGAATAATTTGTTCATTTGTTGTTTCGAACTATTGAATATGTTTTTGTTTTTTTTAAATTTTTATTTAGTGTTTAAATTATTTATTTTCGGATTATAATTCAGCATTTGATTATACAAGTCAACAATTACATCAAGATATGACACAAACATTAAACCACTACTGGATATCATCGAGTCATAATACGTAAATAAAATTACCATATTGAATATCTCTTCTGTATTCTAAATTTTAATATAGTTATCTCGCAAAAACTCAAATTCTTAATCCAGCTTCTATTCACTGTTATATTCAAGCCTTACTAAAAGGTTGTCGATGTGTTGAAATTGATTGTATCGATGGTAGAAATTCATTCGAACCAGAAGTCACTCATAAAAATACGCTTATTAAACCATTACTATTACGTGATGTATTAGAAGCTATACACGATTACGCATTTATAACAAGCGAGTATGTAACAAATTATGAGAATGTCAAGATTCTGATAATCTTCTGAAAAAATAATTTTCAAAATACTACACTGACATACACACGAAGTTTGCAAAAATTTTCCAAACAACTTTACCTAAAAATTATTTTATACATTGTCTGGCATGTCTTGCTTAATTTTTCATTGTGCTAGGCCTACAGAATTTTTTCCTCCTTATTCTCGCGTGTGTTACGCAGGATATGTCACTCAATTACTCTTGCAAGATTTCTAGAAATTTATTTTAAAGAAAAGAAATAGCGATTTAGAGAAGCAATTGTTTAAGATACCAATGTGGAAGCAAATACGGATAAAAAGTTTAAGGTTTGTGATAAAAAAAATGAAAAAATCATTGAAAAAAAATTTGTTAGAAGAAGAGTCGACTAAAATTGGGAGGCTGAGAAAACACTGTTTTTCATCAAATTATCATTTCTATGCGCTCTAGAATGTACTAAGTAAGTTTGAGGCTAAGCGCATTTAAGGATATCCCTCCTCTTTTTTCACCTTGTCGCCAAATGCGGAGCGTACGACCGATTGAGCTCCAATTTATACCAGACATAGAACATCAAAAAAGAAAATCGATGTAGTTTTGTTCAGAATCTTCTGAGATATCCTTATATGAATTTTCTGGAAAAGTCCAGTTTTCATCGGGTCATATTACGACCCCTCGAAAAATGGTCCGATCGAGCTCAAATTTTTACCACAGATACTTCAGATCCTATCTCAGAATGCAAATTTTTTTTCCAAAAAATATGCTTTCCTTTTCGAGATATACGAAAAATGCTGAAAGCCAGCGAAAAAAACTGAAAAAATCTGACTTTTTTTGCATGATTTTCAGCATTTTTCGTATATCTCGAGAACGAAGGTATATTTTTTGGGGAAATAAAATTACATTTTGAGATAGGATCTGAAGTATCTGTGGTAAAAATTTGAGCTCGATCGGACCATTTTCTCGAGGGGTCGTAATGTGACCCAACGAAAACTGGCGTTTTCCAGAAAACTCATATAAGGACATCTCAGAAAATTCTGGGCGAAAATGCATCGATTTTCTTTTTCGATGTTCTATGTCTGGTATAAATTGGAACTCAATCGGACGTGTGCTCCGCATTTGGCAACAAGGTGAAAAAGGAGGGGTGAGTACCCTTAACCAACCATGTTCAGAAAGCTGGACTAGGCGAATCCGAGTCTTTATGAATCTAACCCGAGTTCGTGCCCCTCACCCATATCCTAAACAGTTATAACCTAGTCCAAGTCCAAAGTCTAATCCGAGTCCGAACTCCAGCCCTGACGGTAAGTGATTGATTGACTGATTTATAGTTTACTAGCCACAAGTAGATGACAGATAGTAAAAAAAAAACAGAAATATACGTCTTTACATAAACATAAACAAAATCACTCTACTGAGGAGGTAAAAAGAAGTTCTGAGAAGCTATAAACTTTGCCACCTTATTTTAAAACGATTAAAGCTCAAGATAGTTCTTGAGCTTTGTTTTAAACGACTTTATTTTGGGTAATGTAGCAACAGTTTCGGGAAGGATCAAATTCTAGCCTCGGGCTATTTTGGCAGATAAATGATTGTAAAACGGTTTCTGCTGTTCTTGAATGATTAAGACGGCTTGATCTTCTAGATTGGTCGTATTGGATAAAGTTTAGTCTAGACAAAGGAGAGAGACCGTTAAGGATTTTGAAAAAATGTGTAAGAAGAAAGTATTTTCGTCTTACTTGAAGTAGAGGCAGATTCAATCTTCTAACTAAATTCGGACGAGGAGTAGACAAGTTTCGAGTAACCATACGGGCCGCTAGATGTTGAACGGTCTCAAGACGAGACACCTAGGTGATGCATACTGTGTCATATAAGTCACAGGCATAATCTAGCTTATTGAGAAAATAAACTGAGATTCTAGTTGAAAAGAAAAGATTTATTGATATGTACTAAATTAAAGAGCGAGTGAAAATGTAAAATTAGCAAAAGAACGGATCAGACGAATAAGAGTTCAGAAAATATTAGATCTAGAGACATCTGATGAGAGACACGTAGAAGAATCTCCCCGCTACTCCTAGTATTATTAATACTTTCAGATAGCTTCATGATACCTCAGATAATTTAGGTTTTCATCAGCACTTAGAATCCGATGTTAGTTTAATAAAAAGCATGAAATCAACAGAAAAGATTAAGATTCTAGATAATAGTAAAAAGGTACAGTCTATGCATACGTCGGTGTATTGAATATTTCCAGATATATGATAATTTTTTCTTTAACGTTTTGTTCAAGTTCCTGCTTCATTGCGTTCCGAATTATCGCAAATTTTTTAGTATACCCATTAGACTTATTAGGTAGACGCTCTACACAAAATCCTACAAAAATTTTAAAATTTTTTTCTAGTGTAGACGAGAGGAAAATTGAAAAGAAAGAAGGTGAACTACAATTTTCTTGTTGTTTTAGATATCCAGTTATAATTTCAATTGAAAATCACTGTTCATCTGAATACAGACGAGTTATGGCGAAAATGTTTGTGAATATAT